TCCTCCTCCTCGTCCTCCTCCTCATCCTCTTTCTTTTCCTTGTCCTCCTCTTCCTCCTCCTCCTCCTTCCTCCTCCTCGTCCTCCTCCTCATCCTCTTTCTTTTCCTTGTCCTCCTCTTCCTCCTCCTCCTCCTCCTCCTTCCTCCTCCTCCTCTTTCTTTTCCTCATCCTGCTCTTCCTCCTCCTCCTCTTTCTTTTCCTCCTCCTCCTCCTTCCTCCTCCTCGTCCTCCTCCTCATCCTCTTTCTTTTCTTCCTCCTCCTCCTCCTCTTTCTTTTCCTTGTCCTCCTCTTCCTCCTCCTCGTCCTCCTCCTCGTCCTCCTCCTCATCCTCTTTCTTTTCCTCCTCCTCTTTCTTTTCCTCGTCGTCCTCCTCCTCTTCCTCCTCCTCGTCCTCCTTCCTCCTCCTCATCCTCCTCTTCATCCTGTTTCTTTTCCTCCTCCTTCCTCCTTCCTCCTCCTCATCCTCGTCCCTCGTCCTCCTCCTCGTCCTCCTCCTTCTCTTCCTCCTCCTCCTCGTCCTCCTCTTCCTCCTCCTCGTCCTCCTCCTCGTCCTCCTTCCTCCTCCTCATCCTCCTCCTCATCCTGTTTCTTTTCCTCCTCCTTCCTCCTTCCTCCTCCTCCTCCTCGTCCTCGTCCTCGTCCTCCTCTTCCTCCTCCTCATCCTCCTCCTCTTCCTGCTCCTCCTCCTCGTCCTCCCCCTTCTCTTCCTCTTCCTCCTTCTCGTCCTCGTCCTCCTCTTTCTCTTCCTCTTCCTCCTCCTCATCCTCCTCCTCCTTCCTCCTCCTCTTCCTCCTCCTCCTCCTCCTTCTCTTCCTCTTCCTCCTCCCCGTCCTCTTCCTCCTCGTCCTCCTCCTCTTCCTCCTCCTCCTCCTTCTTCTCTTGCTCTTCGTCCTCCCCGTCCTCTTCCTCCTCCTCGTCCTCCTCCTCTTCCTCCTCCTCCTCCTCCTCCTCCTTCTCTTCCTCTTCGTCCTCCCCGTCCTCTTCCTCCTCCTTGTCCTCTTCCTCCTCGTCCTCCTCCTCTTCCTCCTCCTCCTCCTCCTCCTTCTCTTCCTCTTCATCCTCCCCGTCCTCCTCCTCTTCCTCCTCCTCTTCCTCGTCCTCCTCCTCTTCCTCCTCCCCGTCCTCCTCCTCCTCTTCCTCCTCCTCCTCCAGGAGAGTTTGTTGCTCTCACTTTGCTCGTGTTTGTTCGATGGTTCCAAGTTAAACTGGCGCCCGAGAATCGGCGCGCTGATGGCGCTCGGTCGCCGCTGCGTTGAGTTGATTAGAGATTGATCTAACGTCGTGTCACAGCTTGTTTGCATTTGTCTCTGAGTGTCAATAAATCAGCTGTTAAAGACTCGTGCTAGCACGCCACTTCCAGAGTAAACATGTGATCGGAGAGAGTGAGGAGCCACTGCCATCTGCCGCCTTCACGTCTGAGCAGTTTCCTCATCGTCTGAAACGATGGCGGGAAAGTGGCGAGCACGTGTCTGTCAGCTCTGTGTGGTCACGCTCGCCTGCTCCTTTCCGATCAGGCTCATCCTGACTGGTTGGAAAAGATGGACACTGTTACGTCCCGTGTCGGTTTCTGTGTCCGTGTAAAGCCAGGCTTGTAGCTGAGGCCAGACGGGGGGCGGTGCTCCATCAGCACCGAGGATCGTTTGTGGTCTGTAGGAGGCGCCGATGGGCGTGGTCCCTGTGTGATAGAGAAGCGCTCCATCAGCAGCCGGGTCACTCAGTTTTGTCTCTAATGAAAAGCAGCAGCAGCGTTTGAACCCTACGACTCATTCAATTAGCGCGCTTAAACGAGCGAGCCATCAGCCGGCGCTCGCCGTGACAGAGAGGCGTTTCATGCGCTTGGTTCCAGCTGTTTCATGTGAATATCTGCAGGCTGCAGCTGTAATGAAACATTCAGAGGATCAAATGTTTGTGTCCCGCTCACTCTCACTCAGGCTAATCGCTAATAATGAGCTCTAATTGAGACGAATGAAACCGGCTTTAATGGAGCTGTTTCTGCTGCAGGCCAGTGGGCGGGGCCACGATGAAGCGCAACAGGTGATCTTCACTTTACCTGTTTGTGTGTGTGTGTGCAGGCAATCATCTATGAAGGCCAGGACAAAAACCCTGAGATGTGCCGAGTTCTGCTGACGCACGAGATCATGTGCAGGTAAGGCCGCGAGTAGTTCTTCTTCTCTGCTTCAAATAAAAGTCCTGATGTTTGAGAGCAGTATCCTCACGTCCACGGTGACTCGTGCCCTGATGGAGCCCGTTCCCTGCATACAGAGCAGGTGTGTGCAGGTGTCTCACCTGAGCTGTCTGAAAGAAATACGAGGCTCTGCAGTGACTGACGGGTCTGCTTTCATTTTTGTCTCTGTGTGTGTGTCAGCCGCTGCTGCGATAAGAAGAGCTGTGGAAACAGGAATGAGACGCCGTCAGACCCCGTCATCATCGACAGGTAACAGATACGAAGCGTCACGCACTCACACGCGCCTGTCAGACTGTTTGTGCGCTCGCAAACAAACACGCAGCAGATGCAAGAAAGACAAATAGACACCGATGACACGCAGCGCATTCCTGTCAGCCTTGTTACGTACGTTTAAAGGTTGTCTTCTGCCCGAGCAGCAGATTCTCGATCAGAGCACCAGCCGAGTCACAGACACAGCTGCAGGTTGAATAGCGCCCCCTGCAGGAAGGTTATTAGCAGGATGTGATGAAAGACGTCAGCTGATCTGCTGCGTTCAGGTGAGTCTGTTCATCCACCTGCTGGTTTCACATCTGGATGAAGAGGCGGTTTGGTGCCACACAAAGTGAGAAACAGCAGACTGGTCGGGTTTGTTTATTGGTCAGTTACCCAGGCTCAGGTTAGCATACCTGTAGTGACAACAGCACAGTATGAATGAAGCTTGTTGTAACAAATGTGTCACACAGTAAGGTGTTCCTCAGGGTTTCGTCCAATCATGTTTCCATGTGGCAGATGGCCCCGCCCCTCCCTGAGCCTGCTTCTGCTGGAGGTTCCTTCTTGTTAAAAGGGAGTTTTTCCTTCCCCCTGTCGCCAAAGTGCTTGCTCATTGTTGTTGGGGCTTTCCCTTACAGTGCAGAGCCCCCTGAGGTGACTGTTGGTGCCACATCAATAAAAGTGAACTGAGCTGTGACACGGACGTGCTGATGATGTGCGGCGGGAGCACGATTCACGCTGAGTAGCTCTGTGAATTTAAGGGCTAATGAAAGGTGAACATTAAATGCAGCTCAGCTTTAAATCATTCAAACAGGATGACGTGTGGAGCTACTGGGCTGATGTGGTTGAGCCTGCGCCTCCTCTTCATCCTCCTCTCAGATTCCTCCCCCTCCCCTCCTTCCTGGCCTCCCATGAGGAATCATACGCTATGCTCTTCTCTTTTCACCTCCCCCTCCTCTTCCTCCTTCTCCTCAGCTCTTGTCCTCCTCCTGAGTATTAATCTCAATCCTCCCTCCCCCTCTCCCCTGTGGACGGAGGAGGGGGGAGGATGGATGGATGGAGGGATGGATGTGACTGCAGCAGCTCTTTGAAAAGAGAAGTGGAGATTTTTACAGCAGCTCTTTTTTCTCCCTCTGCCAGCTGAAATGCATGATGGGAAGGTCTCCTGTGTTTTTGGCGGCGTCCAGTGAACAGGAAACATGTCAGGGTCAGACTGCAGAGAGAGCACAAACACTGCGATTCGTTCGCTCTCACTTCAAGAAAACGAACACAGCAGCATTTCATTTCTTCTCCTTCACTCCAGAACCCACCGCTGGTTTCTGTCAGCATGTCGAGCTGCTCCAACACAAACATCTGCTCTTTAGGTTATTTTTGTTTTGTTTGTGTTGCTGAAAATTAAAATTAAAAGCTGAACGCAGCTTTAAAGATAAGCGTTAATTTACAAGGCGCATAAACAGGGAACATCAAAACTGAACTGTGAGGAGGCAGGAAAGAGAAATGCACCAAAAACTGACAGGTGAACGGAGTGAGCGCAGTGTGGGCCGTCACAAAGGAAGACAAAGACAGGAAGTAAAGCCACGCAGTCCGAAGATTCATAAAATAAAAGCAGGATGCAGCCACGGGTTTAAAGTCTTTTAACACGCACAGATTTTTGGCTCATTAAAGGTTAGAAAATGTACTTGAATAAATTAATCTCTTCCATTCATTTCCAGCTTCCATTTTTAAGCAAACGTTTAAAATATATATAAAAAATATCTTAAATGTGGGTCATACTGCTTTCAGTTTATTAGGACAGAAGCTGGACAGCAACAATAATAATAATAAAACATATTATTATTATTATTATATACAGTTGCTTTGTTTAACGTGTTCTGTAACTCCTTCTTCACTCGTACGTGTGCGCTGTATTTAAAGCTGATTTAAAACAGAAAAACACTCTTCACTGTGACGTGTCAATAAATGACAACTTGTTATTAAATGTGTCTGATTTTTATATAAAACAGCACATTTCAGTAAACGAGACAATGACGTGAGTCCGTTTTTTATTGCTGTCGGTGAACGCAGCCGTCGGTGCAGGATACCTGTCAGTGTCACGTACAGCGCAGCATCATCTGCAAACATGACGACTGTCTGACAGGATGCAGAGCTGCAGCTTCCTTCTGCTTTCTGCATGCAGCGATTCACATTTTTACTTCTGCGATCATCACTTAGTTTCGGACCTCTGAGTCAAGTCCAATAATCCAGACCTGGATGACAGAGAACTGCACAGACATTTCCCCTCCCAGATGTTTTTGCTTCATCCTCTGAAGGCGTAGTTTCAGACCAGTGACCTGATTTCTGCCTACTGTTCCTCCGTCAGGCATCCTGTGGCGTTCCCGTCGGTAAACCATTACTCTGTGCAGGTTATATCCCCTCACGGCCTCCAAAGGGGCCCAGCCCACAGGCTGAACCTCGTCTGGCTCTTTGTTCTGAGAGCTTTGGAGGGTCACGATGATGGGACGATCCCCCTCTGAGCGCCGACTGTGAGAACATTTTAATGCGATGATCTTCAGTCACGTTCACATCTTTAAAAAGCTCGCCGTCGATCTGTCTGCCTGTTTGTAGCTGCTGATGATGGTGGTGATGGAACTAGCTCTCATCTTTACACGCTCTCGCTCTGAATACCTGATGTGAGAAATTTTTTGGGGGGGTACAATCTCCTGTCTGTGAGGGTCTCTGGTGTCTGCAGCGTGGGATTATGGGAGGACGATGGGCTGTCAATCATTTAGCGGGCGTAGGTGTGATTTCCCTCTCATGCTGCAGGTTGGTTTTGGATGGAATCTCATTACTGGCCGTGTTTCAGGGTGACTGACAGCAGAATAATGTTTGGGCCCCCAGAGGGCCGCGGCCGGCTAAATGTTAAATGTATGAATGCATGGGAGTCAATGGAGAGATGAAGTGTAGCTGAATATTTTATTCTTCCTGGGAAACAGTCACGGAGCGGAGAGTGTGACCCTGAACACACCATCTGCTGCTGTTTCACTGCCGAACACGCCGTTCACAGAAAGCGCAAATATGGCTGACTGGCAGAGTCACCTGGGGGGGAGGGGGGGGCAGGTAAATAAACAAAGACTAATTAACCAGGATTTGTATAAAAGTGTCAGACACACAGCAGCCACCTACATGTATTAGCTGTGCGTATACACACGTTGATGTTAATACGGAAATAATCATTCAATTACCAACAACTCCGATTAATTCATTTGAAAACATGTACGTCTTCTTCAAAAACAACAGATTATGACAGAGAAAAATCCAAATCTGTGTTTTTAGGACAACGAAGTGTTTAAAGATCCAAACGCTCTGAAAGACGAGACGGGACAGTGAGCAGAGCTGAGGGGTCGAACTTTGTGTTTAAAAGTTAGTAAACTCTGAAGATGGACTCCTTCTCCTCGGCTGCAGGTCAGGGCTTCTTAAAACGACTGTGAGCTGTTACTCTGGGGTCTTTACCGTACAGCCTAAATCACCTTGAAGCTACTGCTGTTGTGATTTGGTGCTGGATAAATACGTCTGTAACAGAAAGCATGATTCAA